AACAATCTTCCACCTAATGACAACTCCAAAACTGCAGAGTCACACATGGACTGGAAAGAGGGTGGATCAAAGGGAAAAAATGAGGCCTTTGTCCTTTCAACCCTGTAAAAAGGGTATGAAGAGGCTGAGGGTTTAGCAGTAGCCTTATTTTGACCTGGATGCTGTCTCAAACAGCTCTCTGTCATGGGCAATATAGTTGGTTAGAAAGACTTAACACAAGGTAAGGGATTAGTAACTAAATCCATTGGGATGGAAACAGTCTGATTTCTTCTGTTAGCCACAGAATAATAAAGTGCCACAAACAAAATAACCACAAGGGGGCGGTAAAGGCTATACAGCAGATTCCTCTACTTGGACAGAGGAGAAAATGAAGACAGGATGGCAACTGTGAGCCAGGCAGCAGAGCTCCAAATCTGCTCCAGCCTTCTCAGCTATTAAGACTAGGGGCACACCATCGACCTCAACAGACTCTGGAACATTTTTCAAGCCCTTTGTGGCTACGACTCTCCAGTGCATCCACTGTATTGTGATTCCATGTTTCTTTAGTCATCTCCCTCCACAAATACGCTAGAAAAATCTGAAAATCAAGGCACACAGACAGGTTGCCCCACTGACCTGGAAATGGCTGCCCCCAAAGGACAGGACCTCTGGTCCAAGGAAGATATGCTAACTTTGTTGGGATGAATGAAAAACAATCTCCCACCTAATGTCAACTCCAAAACTGCAGAGTCACACATGGACTGGGAAGAGGGTGGATCAAAGGGAAAAAATGAGACCTTTGTCCTTTCAACCCTGTAAATCAGGGTATGGGCAAACTCTGACAGACAAGGCACTGACAGAGAATAACAATGATACATCTTTACCACCAGCCTTTCAAACCTTCATTTGGAAGTCCCTAGGGTCTTGGGATTCCAGTCTATGCAACAAGATGCTATGCCCAAGTCACAAAGACCCCCAAAGACCACCAAGGAGCCTATTGCAATGCAAACACACAAGGTCTTTATTATGAGCTCAGTAACTATGACACTTACCAGTCAACCCCACATCAAGTCCAAACTGAGAGACCAAGTCTAGGCATGCTGGGTAATTATTGTCGTTACAGCAAGATTGGAGAATTTCCATATAGGTCAGCAACTTACTATTTTAAAAACTGTATGTCTAGCAAATCTGCAGGAACCAAACAAGGAGGCAAAACCATCTAAAAATCATGATGGTTAGGCTAACTTTTTTTTCCATATAAGGTGTATTAGTTATCTATATGTAGCTTAACCCTACTGTTGTACCTTGACTGGCTGTTGATAAGCAGGGAGGTTGTCATAGGATGTTTGTTCAAGTGGACTTTATGCACTCTCAAAAATGGAACTGATCTGGCTTTACAAACTCATCTTGGTGTCTGAGGCCTTTATTATTGACAGATATTCCTATTCAACTACAACCCACACCTGCCAGTAGAATAGGTACATTGTCCAAAGACCTACCTCACTATCTGTTGCTGCAGACCTTAATATCAGTTGCCCTCACCACTGGAACAGAATACTAGTGGAAGTTATCTCTCTCCCTGTGTATGCCTCCTAAAGATACCACAGACAATCCTCTTCTGCCCTTCCTTTCCTGCCTCATCCCTGTGTCTCAGACCCAACTTGGGCAGACAGTTCCTGTTCAACCAAATGCTATGCCTGAAAGGACTCAGGTAAACTTTCCTAAGATCTATCACACTATTTGTTATCCCAAATGCAAATTTCACAGTTGCCCCTAGCACTGTACTGAACACAAGAGACAGCTTTACCTCTCACCTGTCTATGTCTCCTTGTGGATGACTAAGATCATCACTTCATGCCTGACTCTTGTCCCAGCTTCCAACATTAGCAAGCATTCTCTCTTGAACATACCCACCAAACAGTTCAGTAAAATGGACAACACTCAGCCAACACTCTCTGTAAATCCAGACATCAAACAGTAACTCAGAAACAAAACTCCCACCCAAACAAGGCAAACCCAGAAAGCACTACCTAAACCAATGATGACCTAAAACCCAGATGCCTAGACACTAGCTTAGGAATATAATAAATAACACAGAGGAAAATATGTCACCAAGAAATCCAAGCTATCCTATCACAGCAGGTCCTGAAGAATTGAAATATGCAACAGATATGGTGCAAAAATGGTTCTTTGAGGGAAGGGAGAGGAGTGAGAACCTGGGGAAGGGGTAGAGGTACACAAGCAGACCTACAGAGAGGCACACAGACAGGGAGCAGATAGAGAATCATGAGGGTAGAGAAAGAGAATAGCGAGGGGGGTATATAGAGAACAGAGACAGGGAACAAAAATAGAGGTCTGCTATAGCTAGTGGTCCATGTATATAAAGCACAACCTGGCAACAGCAGCAGGTGATGGAGGCAGGGAATGATTTAAGCTGTTGCTAAGTCCCTAAGAGGAGGTCATTGAAATTGCCTGGACACTGACAACTGAGGCAAGGTGAACCCAGAGAACAGGAACAGAAATGGAAGACAGAATCTCAAGCATTAAAGATGAATAGTAAAAAATAGATACATAGGTCAAAAAAGGGGCATTCTAAAAGTTTCCTGGCACTAAACAAAACGGAATTCTGCAACATGTGAGAAGGCAAAACTACAACTGATTGGAATAGAAGGAGAAGAATATCGGTTCAAAGGTTTTGTGGCTTTATGCTGGGCTCAGGGAAAGGGCAGCTCCCTTTCACCAGATGATAGGTATGAAACAACCCTGGAAAAAAAGGGAAACACTGTTGAACATTATTGTTAGCCAGCACATCTTCTTCAGTGATGAATCAGAGAAAAACCCCAGTTGGATTAGTACAGGTTGTATAGATAAACATATCTCAAATCATAAACAGAATGAATCTCTCTATGTATATAGAAGAGTTTATGTCCCAATATAGGCTATTGGCCAAGGGAAATCAGAAAAATCAAGGACTGGTTGATTTCATGCTGCAGGATATTACAGCTGATCTTGAGTGTATACCAGAATTTTGACGAAATAAGTATTTACTAATGCCAGAGGGGGAAAAACAAACAAATAAAGAAATCATCTTTTTTTGTAGAACAGTAGGGCAAGTAACAAAAAACAAAAGCACTACTCTGTTCAATGTTCTTTATATATGTAGGTTGCCAAAAGAATCAATAGCCCAGATTAAAGGTGGATCTGAACAGCTCAAAAGATCAAGATTAAGAAATGGTGTCTTACTTCAAAAGGTATAATTGAGAAATATCCACCACAGTAAGCAGGGTTAGGGTTAGGGTTAGGGTTAGGGTTAGGGTTAGGGTTAGGGTTAGGGTTAGGGGATTAAAGGGTTATGGTTAGGATTAGAATAGGGTTGTTAAGATTAGGGTTAGTGTGGATAGAAAATTAAAGCGTGAGGGCTTGGATAGTATTAAACGAGTAGGGTAAATCTCAGGGTTATGTCTCAGGGTTAGGCTTAAGGTGGCCACCATTATTCTTCATTGTTCTATGTTTATCCTGTGGATCCTCATAAAATGAAAACAATCATGGAACTTGGTGCACTTCTTTGATAGTGATATCATAAATTAAGCATGGGCCATGTGTCTTCACCACATCTTTAGTTAATATAACCACATGGTACATGATAAAGTGGCCAACATTATTCTTGATGGTTCCACTTAGTCAATATTATCCCTGTTGCACAAAGAAGAAATTGCTGGGCTACAAGGTACTCATTTTATATTTTAACGTTTTGTTTTGCTTGTATTCTGATATCTTCTACCTTACTTATCTAATGGCTTCTCAAAAGACGCTAAAAGTTTTTCCAGCCATATGCCTTCACAACTAGCATAAGAACAAAGGAAGCAAAAACTCTGCTATTCACAGAACCCAACATACAATCAAAGGGTAAGGTGACAAGGGCCAGACAGACTGTTTCTAGCAAAGAACATTTATGTTACCCTATGCTTGGTCTCACTGCTGCTAATTTTCCTCTGAGATAAAATGCCCTCAGTACTCTTCTGCTCTAGACATGTTTGGTTTACATACTTCCCAAATTAAAAATATGCTTACAGAATATCTCTATGTGAAGTTTTCACTTGACAATGACAAGTCTGAAAAAAGAATCACAGACAAGAAATAAATACAAATAGATGGCTTATTAAAATTTGCCTTTTTATTACTTATGTATATATTCTATACACATGAAACCAAGATTTGTTAATCACATCATATACTTAATAGCAAATTGATAACAGGTAAATTAAACTTGTTAAATTGGCTCCAGTTCATTTTGTTCCTAATAAAATTAAACTTAAAAATTGATATGAAAGGACTAAAATATATTTAATCAATAAATCCACACAGGTAGATAGTATAAATATAAAATGATAGTATGGATCTGAATCTTTCTTTGGAATATTTAACATGAAGATATATAATTGAATTTTTTAAATATATTTTTTATTGGATGCTTTATTTACATTTCATGTTATCGCCTTACACCATTACCCTCCCCCTGCCCAGGAACCCCATATCCCATCACCCCTCCTCCTGCTTCTCTGCGGATGTGCCCCCACCTACCCCCCCACTGGCACCTCCCAACCCTCAAATTCCCACCTACTGGGGCATCCAGCCTTCATGAGACCAAGGATCTCTTCTCCCACCTATGCCAACAGGGCCATTCTCCCTTACATATACAGCTGGAGCCATGGATCCCTCCCTAAGTGCTCCCAGGCTGGTGGTTTAGACCCTGGGAGCTGTGGTTGGTTGGTATTGTTGCTTTCCTCATGGAGCCACAAATGCTTTCAGCTCCTACAGTCTTCACTCTAATTCCTCCATTGGGAACCCTATGATCAGTGCAATGGTTAGCTGTGAGCATCTGCCTCTGAATATGTCAGACTCTTGCAGACCTCTAAGGAGACAGCTATATCAGGCTCTTGTCAGCATGAACTTCCTGACTTCCACATCAGCAACTACCTTTGGTGACTGCATATGGGATGGATACCCAGGTGGATTGGTCTCCAGATGGCCCCTCCAGGTTCTGTCCCTCACTTTGTCTCCATATTTGCTACCTTGAGTATTTTATTATTCCTTCAAAGAAAGACCGAAGCACCCCAACTTGGTCTTCCTTCTTCATGAGCTTCATGTGGTCTGTGAGTTGAATCGTGGGTATTTCAAGGTTCTTTCTAGGATTATCATTAAGAGATATATGAGTAGGAAAGTAAAACTTGGTAAAGAAGACATTTACTACAATGAATTAATTTACTTGTTTTATCACAGCCCCATTTCTTGGTCTCTGGCGATTAAGGTTATTTTCCTGTCTTCTTATGCAAAGAATACCCCTCAGAAACTCTTCCAGAAGACTCCTGCAGTCACACCTCAAGTGATGTTTACTAAGATTCCAGTTTTTCAAATTCTGAGAGAGCAGCACATTCTTAACTCCCTCATCCCTACATACCATCACACCCCATCACAGTGGGCACCAGAACAGACAGATGACTAGGCAGTCAGAGCCCATGCTGAGGAGGGGCTCCACCCCTACAGTTTGCACTTACAAGCTACACATTTGGCCAGAGGAGGATCCCAGCTGACATCTGACTGGCACTGGCTCTGAGAACTGCCTTCCAGAGTGTACCCAGCCGCACACTCCAAAGTTACACTATCTCCATAGTAATATTCTTTCTTCATTTCCAAACCCTTCTGGAGTCCAGTCATATCCTGAGGGAGTCTACATATCACTTCTGCAATTAGAAAAATCACAAGGAAATTACTAGTTTGTGGTTAATTAAATGGCTATTATAGAAACATCTGTAACCCCAGATTTTGCCCTCCACGAGATGGGGTATATTTTCAATAAAGAATTACTGTCATCCTCAAAAACTTATTCTTAAATTGTCTGAATTTTATTTGTGTACAGTAAGGGAACATGGGACACTTTTGATGATCAACTATGCAGCTGAAAAGTTTTAGAAAAATATGTCAGGACAACCATGTTTTTTAATCCCTGGTCCATGTGGGCCACACCTAATTAAAAAACATTACATTTTCATGCTAACTATCTTGGTATACAACATATTCTGTTATTTTTGCTATGAACTAAAAGTATATAAAACAAAGAAATTAGTGACCTGCGATTCTAATTTTACATACTATCTGATTTCTTTTATTTTATTTCACTCATGCTTTAAATTGCTTTTTTTTCTTTCCAGCCCTAAATATCTTCCTCAACTTCAAGCAAACCTCCTTTTCTGTTGTAATTGTCTCAAGATTTATAAAGTGGCATTAAAGTATGGTTTTCTTATATCAATGGATTTTAATTGACCTGTTAAAAATAGCCTTCTGACTCTCTTCAAAACAGAATCTGAGTCCATGGAAATGAGCTAAGGAATACCTTTTTAGCAACATTTCAGTAATTTGGCTACGATGATAATGGAAGATAACGTTTTACTGATGTAAAACATGCTTTATTGGTTAAGACAAAATGAATTATACATATAGTAAATAAGTAAATAAATACACCCACCCAATAAAATAATTATACATTCTTCTCATTGATGACAACTGGAGAATATGGGAAAAAAATTCTAGAAAGAAGACAAAAGGTTTAAGTTCTATTAATTTTAATCAAAGTGTGATGATGATGCACATGGCTGGGACATTAGTAGTTTTGGATCTCTAAGTTTTTTGCTGAGAAGAAACTGAGGCCTAACCTAAGCTAGAGTTTATTCTAAAAGCCCAGGAGACAGAAGTCCTAGATCACCTAGGAAGCTAAGTCTTTAATGGTGTTGGAAGTAAGGTTTTTTGTTTTTGTTTTTAAAGCAAGCATTCAATTGCTTTACACCAGGGATAGTAAGAGTCCTGTTTACAAGAAGATTGAGGACAGGTGAAGCTTTGGTCACATGGATACTAAGTTCTAGGGAAACCTGTCTGAAGCATGGCCTATCATCTTTTGAAAAATAAATGTCTCTTGGTGGCTCGAGGCCAGTATCAGCACCAACCAAATACACAATGGTGTCATCTCATTACACCAATAACTCCAGATTTCTTTTTTATACCAGATTGATGATTCTAGAATACAAGACCTTGTTCCAAAAACAAACAAAATTTTATCTCACTATAATCAGTTGAAATACATTTATTGTCAGTCATACCTGTCTCTGCATTGGTTCAATATCTCACTTTCTTATGGATTGAATATCCCTATAAAATTTCATCATAAAACATACAAATACATATCTAGTTTATTTTAATAAATCTTATTTTAAATGAATATTTTATAGTCAACAGGAAAAGGGAATTTTAAAAACTGGTTTGCTTTGCTTTATGAACCCTAGGTAAGACAAACTAGCAATGTTTTATATAGAAAACATGTAGTTTAATCCATTTGCTGGTTTTTGTAAGCAGACAGTTTGGAAATGAAGGGTCTCCCATCATGTAAAAACTGACTTACAATCCCCACCCCTTCCTGTGCCATAAATAAATTCTTATATTTATTTGTTTTATTTTCTGTACTACACATCATTATTTATTATACTATTTATACACTATACTTTTTTAAAGGTATATTTATTTCCCTATTCCTTATCTGTTTCTTAACTGGAAAACTAACTCCATGAAAACACGGATGACTCAGACCTATTCCTTGCTTGTTCCACACATACAAAGTCCTGGCACAGAAGCCTTTGTCAGATAACACCAAACAGTAGAGACTTGGCCTATTAAATAGACCAGTGAGGTGATAAAAGAGCATGGCCATTTAAGAGAGATAGCCTGTACAACAAATAAGTATAATTTCATCTACCTTTATATCATCTACATATTCCTTACAAAATTCAACATTAGCACACCATGTGTTGATAAACTGTATCACAATACAAGTTACATAAGACATTTCTTGAAATTCTCTCAAAAAATAAGCAGTTTAGAACAGATGTAGACAACAGGTAATTCTATTAGGAAAAACACACTGGGAAAGAAAACCAGAAGTGCACTCCAGCCAGACTGCATATAAGTTAACCTTTCTACTCATGTGCACACACATGTGTACTGCTGTTCCAAAGACTCTTTATTCCAGCTAAGACACAGTACCTAGCAGAGCTGCCTTTTAACTGGGACCTAAAGCAGGGGAAGCAGGGACCAGCTGGCAAAGAATTTCTGTTTTTATCTCTCGTTTTATCTTTTTCGCTGATAGATGCTTAGGTTCCTGACTTCAGCCTAAGGATTTGGTTCACGGTACAGGCCTAGCTAAGTCTTAGTTAATTTGGGGTCTGAATTTAGTAGCTGGCAGGAACTCAGAAGTCAAATAAATCTAAATCTTGTGAATGACAACAGGGTTAGAGCTGTTGTGTTCAACTGTCATACCAATTCCTGACCACTGCCACCTGTGGCACTAAACAAACATCCCTAGGAGTACAAGATCCAGAACATTCTGAGCCCTTCTGATTTCTAGCTGCTATTTCTCTTGTTTGTATCTGCAGGGTCAGGAGAAGAAATGGCAAATATTTGGGATGAAATCAGGCACTGTTTGTACAGAAGCATCTTATGCTAGATGGCTTAAAAAGAAAGAAATGGATGAGTGTTTGCCATTCTGGATGCCCAGCTTGTTGTTGGGTTCTATTGTTCTGAAATTTATAATTGATCTGGAATTTAAAAACAAAAATTGTTGGTGGCAGACTTCATAAATAGTAGATCCCTTAAAAATTGTTCAAGATAAGTGCTTTCTTGCCTAGTCTTGCTTTCTACAGACCTATAGAATCTGCTACCAACAACAAAAGATTCATAAACAACTAATAACTACCACCAAACACATTGTCATTGGCCACTGTGATCCCAGAGAAGATGTGTAGTTGGAGCAGAATATACTTGTCCATATACTACTACAGATTCTACCACTGGTTGGTTTTATGTATCTTCATCCTTGTCTGACTGATCATTATGTAAAGTTTTATCTTGTTCATCAAAACTTCTTTTATTTTAAGCAACAATGCATTTATTTCTAGTTCTAGTTTTGGATAAAAAATCCAAAAGAATCTATATTTGTACTTTACATTGTGTCCTATAGCTACTTGATACTAATGTCACTAAGTTCCTATTCTCATTTTGAACTGATCTTTCCAGAGGTTGACTGTAGGAGGAGATAAGGTGGGAGGAGTAAGAAGAGGAAGAGGAAAAGGAAGAAGAGGAGCTAGGGAGAGCAGAAATATAGGAGGATGGAGAAGCACAGGTATGGAGAGCAGTCTCAGGTAACAACTTATATTTAGGTTAGCTAATTGGGAAACAACTCTCTTTGTATGGCCATATTGTTATTGAGCATTGTGAAACATATAAAGCCTTTGATTAATCTTTAAGCATTAGAGTTTCATTTTATTACTGGGCCTACATGGATGGCAGGATGGTCTGGACAATGCCCAGCCTTGTGGAGACAGCCTGGAAGATTGGCAGAGCCATTTCCCACTCTGGCATCTCCTGGGTGGCAGGGCTGGTGTTTCTGCCTGGTCAATTCTAGCTGCGCACATGGCCTCTGGCAGAGAAACATGGCGGCTGAGCGAGGCAGAGCTGCTGCAGCTTAGATAGTCACTTGACCGGAGGCCATTTAAATAATTATTTCAACAGATGACCTACTCGGGAACTTCATTTTGTAATCCTTAAACATAGTCGCTATCTAGCATTCTGTCTCTGATCTCTATTCTGAGTCACACTCAGCCTTCATCACAAATAAATGACACTTTGGGCCCAAGCTGAACATTCACAGGGAACAGTAAATGTCCATTAGGAAGATGGCCTAGGATAGTATCACAGGTTTCACTAAAGGGGAAACAAAGAACTAAGCATGTCATGCCAGGGACAAAGAGAATGTTTAATAAAACAAAACAGAACAAACAGAAGAGAGTCTAAACACTTGCCCATATCGGGGCCTCAGGACTCCAGTCTCCCTGTGTGGTGCAGTGTAGGGAAGCAGTCCTAAGGAATCCATAACCAGGATCACAGTGGTACAATACTTCTTTTCCAGGAGAAATGTTCTTGTTGTTTGGGATGTGTTTCCCATGTGGAATTTCTGGGAGTCACTGACATTCTATGTAATTCTATGTATGTATGAACAAGTCTGAAGTACATTTAATTTTGGAGACATGCCCTCTTTAGCTTAAGGAGTTGGAGAAGCATATGTAAAGAGTGCTAAGTTTTGGATATAGAGTGTTCCTCAATGCTCATGTGCTACAGGTTTGGTCCCAGGGCAAGCACTGCCAAGGACTAGCCAAGGACCAGCCAAGTAAGTTGTGGGTCCAAGTTGGAAGCCTGTGCTCTGCTATCCAGTCTGCATTCTCTATGGTCTGCCCGAGACAGCTCTTGCTATTCTAAAAAATCTCTGGGTAGCTCATCCCTTATAGATCCAAGGCCCAGTTTTTTATTTGCATATCAAGTCAGTCTTTACCACAGGTTTCTCTTTGATTATCCCAAGAATCAGCATTCCAGGATCCCAGCTCCCTTAATTCTTAGGAGACAGCAATCACATGTTTTTTATCATTGTAAAAGAATTCAGAGATCAGCCTGTCTTCGTTAGACACAGAGGATAAGCTCCCTGGGAGAGATCCTGCCCCGAAATTGCCATTTCTACTATGCCTGGGCCTAAATTTGCTGTCTCAGGCTGACCCTGAGCTAAAGAATCTGCCTGCTCTTGTAAGCATAAACAAAAACCTTAGATGGGTGAGATCTCCTGTGATCACCACTCCAAATCTCTTTATCTCCATCCTTACTATTTTTCTGACAAATTGGCTTCTAGTGCAGCTGCCTTTGTTCCTTTAGATCTGTAAAGCCCCTTATAAAATTCATATTGTATCCTTGTGTTGTACATAGCTGAGAAATTATATGTTTTTGAACTCATGTCTTCAGAGTTCTTTCCCACAGCTTTAAGGGCTGTCCTGAAGGACTCACCATTTATCATTTTGCTAAAGATATAGACACACCCTCGATTGCTGGGCATGTGCTATTTCTACTTAGGAAATATCACACAAAATACATAATTCAGAATGATTGAAGCTAATCAAAGAGGTTCCAAGGCAAGGACATACTCACTTTGATACAAAACAAAATTTCATTAATCAGCTTCTGTCAATATATAGGCTAGAATATAGAAAAAAACACTAGCAGGGATGGTATGTGTTAAAGTACAAAAAGTTAGGGCATTAAAATCTAGATTAAAGTCTTACTCTATATACTCACGTTCACACACAGGCACACTGCTATTCCAAATGCTTTCCACTCCATCAAGAACACAATGACTAGAAGAACTGCCTTTTAATTGATACCTAAGGAAGAAATGGGGAGTGGGCTGTAAAAGGCTTTGGCTAGAGTAATAACTTAATTCCCAGGTCTAGCCAAAAAAGCATCTGAGGATTCTGAGGCTATGAAACCAGGAGATGGAAGGAGTGTGTGGATGCTAAGCCATTCAATGAGCACAGCTCGAAGTAGGTGGGTAAAAAAGAATTGCAAAGCAAGGGGTCATGTTAGATAACACTCCCAGCTGAAACTGAAGAAGGTACTTAGGACGATAGTCAGAAGATAGAAGATAGTCAGATAGACAGGGCAAAGGTAGACCCTGGACTCTGACTGAGAGACACTGCTCATGCTGGAGGGAAGCTGGTACTGCTCACTGTCACAACTGCGAACTCACTCTGCCAAGGCAACACCTTGCCAACTCCAGCACTGAAGAGGCAGAGTTAACTGGCAGGAAATAGAGACTGTTCTTATGTCTCAGTACCTGTGATTGTGGCCTAGCTTAGAACAGGAAGCTCAGCTACTAAACAATAACTTCCGTTTCTCTGGGTAATTCAGAGAACAGGTGACTTATGAGGTACTTGTGTATGGCATATAAGAGCCCTAAAATGTATTGTTTGCTGGGAGTTTTTGTTGTTGTTTGTGTTTGTGGGGAGTTTTGGTTGTTGTTTGGTTTTCTTTTTAAAGCACTGGGACTGGAGAGAAAACTGAGATGGGGGAAAAAGCCAGTTTTTTTGTAAGAAGTCATCCAAAATTCTCAAAGGATGTTAAACTCTTATGCTCTTCTAAATCTTCTATGTTCCTGGTATTTGGTGCCTGCCAGGAATTCTGACAAGCACTGAAGAGCAGATTCTCTGTTGTCCATGATTGGTAGTTTCATAGAAGCATGTCTGCTGTCAAGCATGTTCATGACCTCCCCTAACGTGTTAGAATCATCCCCTGTGGGACTGTAAAATCCTGGGTATTCAGCCATGTCCCCAGAGCCCTACCATGAGGTCTCCATGTCCCAAGTAGAGGGCGGGGGAACAAGTCTCTGCCTCAAGATTTCCCTGGCCAGCCCTTCTTCCCTGCTTCCAATATATAAACAAACCCACTCCGACATTTTTTGGGAAAGCTCTACACCACCCAAACCCGCTGTCTGTTAATAAATCAACGCATCTTAAATCTCCACATATCTCGTAAATTCCGGATTCTTGTAAGACAAGACTCAGGGCGTGGGGCAGGAAGGGACTCTAGCTAGCCGCATGGCCCCCTGAGCTGGCTCGTGTCCTATGCCCACTGCTGCTGCACACCAGCTCGCGGGACAGGGAGATGAGAAGCCTTTCTCTCCGCGGTCAGCTCTATCCTGCGCGACTAAACAGCACGCCCACCGGACCGGTGCTCCCCCGGGATGTCCCTGCCGGCTTGCTGCGCTCCCGCCCATGACCAGCGCACAGGTGGTGCCTGACAATCCCCCATTTCAAAGCCCACAGCCCATTACTAATCAAATGATATGCAATGGGTGTTTTAATCCCATACCTTATGCTTCGTTTCTCTTATAAATTCTATTATTGAGCGTTTAATTTTTTTTCTGAAAATGACTGCTAAATGTATTCTTATTTACATAAACTTTCTGTAATATATAATTTTTCTCAAAATTGCTAATGCTATTTTCTTTTTAGAAAATGATTTTTTCACTTAGTGTATTACCTATATATTTAAAACCAGTAGTTAGATTTGGTTTTGAATCTGTTATTTAATAAACATCACAGTTTTACCTTCACATCTTATTTTATGAATTCTACCGTCAGTCTTTCCTATATACAATATTAGAAGTTGTGTCTTCCCCATGCCAACCTACTCATACTGTCGACAAGTTCAGACTTAGTTTTAATGTCCAGCTGATTAGATTTGCTTGCACTCACCCTTCATTACAAACAAAGGACACTTTGGCCCCAAGTTGAAGATTTATTGGAAACAGTACACGCCCATTAGGAAGCTGGTCCAGGAAAGGATCACAGGGTTTCACTGGAGGAAAAAAAATCAAACAGAAAATATAGCAGTGTATGGTGAATAAAAACATAAGCCATATATGTCAAGCAGGATGACAGACTGTGCAATGCAGGGAGACAGCTGCATGGACAGTACAGCCTCACTCACAGCAGCAGAGCAGCTCCTGCTTGGAGAACACGGATCTTTGTTTGGGTGCATAACCCTAGCATTGGCTTCTGGGGCAGCTGACATATTGAGGGGAAAAGAAAGTTTCAGGCATGAAAACAATTTTCCCTCAATGGTAAACTAGATCACAGATGCAAAAGGATCACAGCTATAAGTCTGCTTGTGGAAGAAAGAAGAAAAAAACAGCCTTATTTATATATGACAGAATAATTTTTCTGTCAAAAGTCGCAATACAATACAAACACTGTGACTACAACTGATAAATCTTGAATTTACTATTTTATCTTTAAGGTGTACACTAGGGTTACAACACTTCCAATACATTCTTTTGTTTTGTTTTGTTTTGTTTCGTTTCATTTTGTTTTGTTTTGCTTTGTTTTTCGACACAGGATTTCTTTGTGTAGCTTTGGCTATCTTGAAATTAGCTGTGTAGACCAATTACATTAAGTTGCAAAATGGGGAAAACTCCCTCTCTGTCTCTGTCACACACATATGTGCACACACACACACACACACAGACCACACATACAGCAAAACAAACAAATACAACAACAACAATTCAAAACTTCATTTCAAGTCAATTCTCCCTGACCTTTAGACTTCTCCAGTTAAAAATGGGGTACTAGTCTACAATAAATTCTTTCCCTTGAGGGCTCATCTTCGACTAATACATTGTGCTGTCATATTTTAAGACTAGCTGATTACATTTATGTTGATTCCCAGCCTCATGGTATGTATTACCTATCATATCTAGGGATATGATAGACACCTTTATGTATCCCGGAACAGCTTCAGTTGAGACAGCCTTGATGACTCTCAAGTAAACAGTAGCCATTCAGATTCTAGTAACACCAGTGACAAGCAAGGACTGGCTCTATTCTGGAAGCATAGAGCAGAGTCTGGCTGACAGATGGTGACAGTGTCAAGCAGGGAGAGCCAGCTGTGCCAGCTCTACTTCTATAAAAACGGTAGCTACTTCATCTTTAGCCACATTGCTTTCCTGCTCTTATTCTTCCTGACCTTCGAACATCTTTATAACCCATTTCCTGAAGGAAAGCCTTTGTGCTTTGAAAAATCTGGCAGATAGGCAGATTTACAGTCTAATGGTTACTCTGCAAGTTAGTATCTGTATCATCTTGGAAAATTATTTAACCTCTAAGCCTCAATATGGAAACAATAGTAACTACTCCACAGCATTGTTTTAGAAATTAACTATGCATACATTAAATATAACTTCCCGTGGATCAGTCATTCCACATTGGTAAATATTATGATATGGATAACTGACAGGAGCTGGAGATCACCGTGTATGAAGAGACCATCACCGTGTGATAATTCCCAGGATGCATCACATTCCTTACTCATACTTGGATCTGCTTCTCAATTGGAATGGCTGTGCTTACATGGGTGCTTGAGCACACACACAAACATACATCCCTTCTCGATTTCATATTCCCTTCCAAGAAAATTTATTCATTCAACTTGTTCACTGTAGTCCCTCATCCAGAGCCAACCCTATCCCTGGTCCTCCAATACCCAATGACATTGCAGACCTCAAAGCCCAGGTCAGACTTACCCTTGAAGCAGCTTGGTACCTCTGGCTCCCATCTGTTTGGGGATTGACAATGCACACTGCTGGCTCCTCTCATGGTAAATCCAGGTAGACATCTAAACTCCACAATATCCCTTAAGGAAAACAAGCTTCTGTTTTCAGTCACCATGACTGCATTTTCAACATGGGGAGGAGGAGTACATTTGTTGAGTTCAATGCACTGAGGAGGAGGGCCACTCCAGACTCCAGTTTGATTATCATTGCTGGTACACTTTAAGGAGGGCTCACCAACCAGGTTAAAGAGCTTCTTCCCTTTCGAATCAGTGTTGCAGTGATAGTGAACCACCATTTCATACTGAAAATCTTCAGTAGGACGGAAGAATCCATTGGGAATGCCTGGGGGCATCGCACAAGGAATCCCTGGGCAAAGAAAGCAGATTAAACCTAGTGAATCACTAAAGTGAAAATATTTACACTCATCATTTGTTTGCAATATTTACTGACTTCTAGCTGAATTTTAAGATGTTGCATTTAGATGCACACTGTAACATGTGCTCTGACTTTCCTGTTTATTTCCTATAAACACATGCAGTTGACCTTTTCATTTGAAATAACTCTTTGATCATATTAGAGACTTTATATTAGCTTCCAGATATTTCTTCTTGCCTATAATTTCAAAAGTTGTTGTTAACTGAAAGGAAGTTTCTAAAAATAATATAAACTAAGAAAATATAAGAGGCAAATGAAACAAATGGAGAGAAGTACAAAATACAATTTGAACATGCCTGCAAGTATGAGAAAATTGTTTAAACTATGGATTACTCTGTATTACACATTTTGAAAATGTAATGCATGAGTGAAAATATAGAACATTAACATTCATTCAAAATATGTAAAGCTAAATTTGACCAATAACTCTTAAGAATACAAAAAAATCCCCACAAATTCTGTCAATTTTCAAGTAATACATAGTTCTAAATAAATTTCAAGTACTTTGAGACGTGTAAAGGACAGAAAGCTCAAGTTCACTATAAGATGATTTTTATGAACTAGTTTACAAAAAAACCCTAAGTATTCCAAAAATTAAAGTGATTCATACTGGGCTACTGTTCCTTGGGGAAGAGGGAGTCAAACCAGTAGTAGAGTTTGTGATGGTCTTAACAAATCAAAAGATAAAAACTGGAGCCCAGGGCCTCCAAACAAGGAAGTTCTGGTAATACCTTGTAAAGAACTGTACTCTTAGAATCAACAATGACTGACACCTACTATCTCAAAGGTTGGAAATCTTCAAGTATTGTAGATGGCCTAGAAAAAAATTAAAATTCCTGAGACCAAATCAAAACAGTATCATTTGGCCAGTGTCCTAGAACCTCACAGAAAAAAGAAAGCTATTGTCTGAGGAGTGTGGGTTATTGCTGTGTTTTAAATATGGATAATGTTCCCACACAACATTGTACCAGAGGCTTGGTCTACTAGTGGCAAGATGGCAACAGAGCTTTTAAGAGGAGTGGCCTACTAGGAGAGCCTTAGGTCAGAGAGGATGTGATGTTAAGGAGATGTGGAGCCTTGACTCTTTCTCTCTGTGCTTTGGCTCCTTAGCTTCTGATATGAGTAGTTTTGTTTTTCCATATGCTCCTGCCATGAGGTGCTGCCTCAGCAGAGTCCCTGAGCCTCTAGATCTGGTCCCTCAAAACTGTGAGCTGAAATAGTTTATCACAGAAGTTAGTTATCTCAATGATATCATTATACTGAGAAGCAACTGTCTTCATTAATTTTGTGTCTGATTCCTTTATGTTGACTCACTTGCTCACATCTTCACATGAGCATGTTAAGCAATCAGAGTCTGTCCAATCTAGCTTGTTCCTCTTAACAGAAAAATCATTGTCCCCAACCTTCAATCACTTTCTCTCTGTAACTCAGTCCGATCTGTTGTTGTATAAGGGTTCTAGCAGGCTGTATCGTATAGATATAGTATAGTAGAGGTATGACCACCAGTCTCCAGGATGCCAAATAAAGAGAGGGTCAAAGCAGAGAAAGGAGAGTTATTTAAAATGATCACACAAGAAAATGAAACAGATAGGGTGGCCCATTGACCCCAAAGCTTGCCTTCTGAGTACTGACAGAAGCATCAGGTTGAAATAGAGTAAGAACTGGGACAAATGGCAAGAGTTATTTATAGTCATGCAGCCATGGTCCTTCCTACCTGACCTAGGTATATTTTCCTTTCATTGATCATTGTCTAAGCCTTGGCTATACAATTACTGTGTGAGAGAGCAAGATGATTCTCTGGAGATTACTCCTGTCTCAAGGATAATCTTAGTGTCTGGCTAATTGTTTTATCCAGGTAAGAGGGTAGGGTGGAGTCTGTCCCTAACAATTTTATAGATCCAGAGTCTAATTAACATTTTGTCTAGTTAATCCTTGCCCACTTCTGTGTTATACCTAATATCCTGAGACTAACAGATAAAACATTTTTGGGGTATATTAACTTAATATAACCTTGTTTTCTACTAATAAAAGGCTAAGAATACCATCAGACAGCATCTGGAGTCTATAGACGTTTCTTTGCTTTCCTTCAAGTCCACCTACTTAATATTTCCACTAATGTATTTTAAAAGTGCCTTGATTATGACTTTCCTTGTTTTTTTTTTAATATAGAAACTTTGTGCGAGACATTTCCAGAAAAGAAGCTATATATGCAGAGGCTGGTTGAGTGATCAGAATTCCAGTACTGGAGAAATTGGGATGTTGCAAATCCAGAGGCTAATTACCTACCTTGGGCTAGTTCTAGCCCCCAAGAACAAAAATTCCTTCCCTACTGACATCTTGTGACTAATAGATAGAAGTTTTTGGAATCTTCTAACTGAGAACTCTATGAGCTTCCACAAAAGCTTCCAAAAGCTAAGACTGTTACCAGATATCGTCTTAGGTCATTAGAAAAGCTTTTCCTACATCATTTTAACTGCCTGTCTAACATACCCAATAGTTTTCTTTAAATTTGCCTTGATTTAATACTTCCTTTGTTCTGGAAAAATATAAAACTTCGTGAAAGTGCTTCTACATTGAAACATGGAATTTGGGAAAATCTAAATCTCTTTTACTGCACCATAGTTGGTTAAAAATAGCTGCCGAATAAACTATCTCTTGTACCTTTTAAATTAAGATCTGTAGCTTTTGCAATGACAACTTCATCAAATGTTTCCATATTAAATCATAGAACTTGGGGTAACCTAAATCTGTGTTCCCCAGTCATGGTTATTGATGTTTGGCTCCAAAATAAGCTCTCTTTTCTCCTTTAAGGTGAGAGTCATAAGTATGGTGCTAACAAGAGCATAACTTCTACCCCATTTCCCCCAAACCAAAGCTTGAATAAAATGACCTCCAATAATCTGTCTCCTGGGTTTGTTTTGATTTTTTTCTTTAAACAAGCAGTGGTGGTAGCAGGAACTATAAAGGAATGACATATACTCAGATGGCATCATTATACAGAGAGAATGGAGGGATAAAAGTATGCACAACACTGAAGAATAATTAAGAACTTTCTAAGTCTGACAAAAGATATCGCAGAATTATAGATTCAAAAAGCCATATAAACTTGAGCAACAATATTCAAGTAATTCTTCATCTAGACACATCAGGAAGATAGAAAATCTAATTCTACCATCCTTTATAGCAGCCATGAAACAAAGACAGTAACTAAAAGGAACTGAAGGAGAAAATGTTTCAGCAATGAAAGTTCCAGACCTATAAAATACAAAAGAATGACAAAATAGCTCTTCAGGCTGAAGAACAACAGTTTCCTATAGAACTGATAGAGCCACAGTAAGGAGGGCTGTTACCTAAAAGAGGTATGTGGGGGCAAACTGTAATGTATGGTAGTCAATGAGTAGATCACAAGCATGATAGAAATTATTTTATTTTCTACTTGCTCTAAGAATACATGGAACACATGAAGTCACAAAAGTCAGGCTGTGTGAGAAGAAGGCCTTCTCTGTGAGAGTAACCTATAGGATAAGTCTCTACTGGAATCCCAGCCAGTCAAGCAAATTTTAGTGGGCCAATGAAAGCAGGCATGAATTCTAAGAGAACATGCATGTGAGTAAAACTACTGTTAGACGGGGGGTCAGAGAGCTATTCAGTGTCTCTTCTGTAGCTGTCCCATGGAAAAGTGGCCACCAGGGGGTGCTTATATTATTCAGATATCTATAACAACCACAAGGAAGAAGTCGGAGAATAGCAGAACATGAATACCCTTCAAGGATGACTAATTTTTACTTCTGGTATGAGAATTATTCATGGGGATACACTCCAAAACTGCCAATAGATGCCTAAAATCTCAGCTAGTACCAGTCACTATGATAATATTAAATTTACAAATTTCACACAGTAATATTATAATACTAAATAGAAGAATTGTAACTATACTGCAATAAGCTATGTAAATATGACATCTTTCATTAAAATCTTAATTGCTTTATTCATCTTTTTCTGAAAATACATAACCACTGAATGTCTGTAGGATGAAATGAAGTGAATGGCAAAGTGTCTAGTATTAGGTTGCTATCTAAGGGTTATTTGAACACAAGCACTAGATACCTAGCATAATCTGATAAATGCCTAAGGAACAATTTCATATCTGCAGTATAAACGGACATACTGAAAAAGATCTTTTTTACCCTCAGTGGGATAGTGTTGAATAGAAAAGGACAGCATAAGGGTTCCTCACACTTTTTACAGTGATGCATAATGGTAAAATTATGTAAAATTAATTTTTAATTAATAATTTCTAAAATTTTGTATCTAACATTTTTTTGGACGGGTTCATCATGGGTAACTTAAACCACAGAAAGTAAACGTGTAGCCAAGTAAGGCTGCTTTATTCAAAATGGATGCTAAGGCAGCCTAATTAACTGCAAGATAAATACAAACAATTTTCTTCTATAAAAATAACATCTCTTGTGAAGCATGAAGAAGTAACAGAAAAACAATAGTGGCAGGAAGCTATAGAGTCACACAGTTGGAGTTGTTTGTAGTACTGGGGACATAGGAGACATACAGTTGATATTAGATTGTAGTAAACAAAGGCACTTATAGCCTTTATAACAGACAGAATTTAGCAGTGCTAGCTGTCATAACACATGACAGTAAGATAGGCTGAAGAGGTGGAGGAAAGACGATCAATTAATCTGAAGCTACCCTAGGCTGCACCTTTCAACAGCCATATCAGTTTAGAAATAAAAAACTTAATGCTTTCTTATTTGTGCAAGGGTAGTACATTGAATTAAATATGTAAGATTTTAGCTACTGTTTGTTTGATTATAGAAACTAGTACAATATTCTCCAACAAATGAAAAAACAACAATACAGAGAAGACAGTGTGACAAGGAAACAGCGAGTGATGTCATAAACCATAAAAGTAGAAGAAAAAAACCCAGATTGTCTCTCTTGGCTTCCAGAAGAAACCAAGCATATTACTGATATCTTGAGTTGAGTATTTAGGCCATCAAAATAAAAGACAATAAATTTCTCCTCTTTAAGTTACCATGCTTGCAATAACTTGTTATCTGAACTTTAGAGAACGAATATATATACCTTATATACTCCCAATCAGTAACTAAGAGAAAAATAGAAGAAAACAAAAATTTATTCTAAATCAGTTTCCTAAATCACATTTATAGAAAATTATACAAAACCACTATCCATTCTTTTTAAGAAAATTACAATACTTTATCAAAACTGTCCCTATTCTGAGCCATAAAATATGACTCAGTATGTCTCAAAGTAAACTAGTAAAAATTAATAAACTGCAAAATCTCCCAATGCTTAGAAATTAAGTATCACACTTTTAATTACCCTGTCAGAAAACTTTTGTGCACAGTAGTAATAGACAAATAACTGTTTGGAAAGTAAATAAAACAGTTTGAACCAAATGTATAGGTTTAAATGTGCATTATAAAAATTAAAATTTTAAAACAAATGATCTTATCTGTGCCCTTCCCAGCCTTGAGCAGTCTGAAAGACCTTGTTTGCCACACAGGATCTTAACACCTAGGTGAGTCCAGCTAGTTTGTTTACAAAGAGACTGCCTGCTGAGCCTGCTTTGCAACTGAAACAAAGGATGGGTTGGGATGGGCTTTCCCTATGTAAATGCAGTGCTGAATATTAAATTTTGAGCCTTGATCAGAGGAGGCTGTCTTGACTCCTTGCTTCTTTCACCCCCCCATCTCCTTTTCACTTCAAGTCCCCCTTTCAGGTCAACCCAGTTCATCTATGGCCCTGGTGGCTACACTTATCAGCCGTGTCACTCATTTAGGAGTGGAGAAGTACATAAAGTTGAGGTAAAAGGAAATGAAAGAAAGAAAATAATATGGCAGAAATAAAAATTAAAAATAGACATACACTAGGTAAGACTCGACAAAGTTAAAGATTGTTTGTGAAGAGCTTAATAGAATTGATACATCTCCAGCAAAACTGACCACAGAAACAGAAGAAGTTATAACCAATATCTCAACTTTGTATCACTATAGAATCTATAGACATCAAAATGATGAGTAGACGCAATGATAAATATAGTGCTGACAACTAAGAAAACACAAAAAGAAATGAGTAAGTGACTTAAAAAACAAAACTTATCCCAAATAAATGCAATAAGACATCAAGTAAAATATGCTATTTTTAGTTACTATGAAAATAAAGTCAGCAATTAAAAATTTAATAACCATAACTTCACTTCAGCCAGATCCAAACTATTCCTAAACCCTACTCCTACTACTAAACCCACTGAAACATGTAAGCAAAAATAGCATTATTATTAAACAAATTATTCTGGAGAACAGAAAATAATAATGTTAAGAATATTTTATGAGGCCAAAATAATCGAGATGCCTAAACTGGACAATGGCACTAAAAGCAAAACAAGCTAATTATAACCTAGTATTTCTTGGAACATAGATGCAAATACACTAAGAAAAATTAGAAAATTGAATTCAGCAATATTTGAACAGGGTGATACAGTGACCAAAATGGGGTTTCACAAACTGATTTCCAAATATTAAAGCAACTTTATAATGCTAAGATTAAAAAATGTTAGCAATCACACATGTATCTGCATACGAACAAATGTAGAAGATAATAATATTCAATACATCAGAACCAAGATAGGTTTATTTTACAAAGTCAGTTGGTTAGCCTTTTAAAGTCAATGTGATATCTTAACAAAATGAAAGAAAAAAAGATATGATTATTTCATATGTGTAGAACTATAACTAAAATGCAATAAGGGCAAATCTGTCAACAAATTAGAAATAAAGGAGAATGTTCTTAATCAAAGAACACTGTTTTTATCTGGTCATTTATCCTCTAAAAAGAGTTATTTTTTGACTGGACTCAGACTTGGAAGTAGAAGACAAGGCCAGTCTATCTCTATTGGCAATTTTTTCCTATATTTTTCTTTGGCTTCATTCTCTTAGCTAAAAATTTAACATATTCTGCAGCCTCCTCATTTTCCTTGGTGCACTGGTTCCTTAGAGCAATACCCTGCCTGTTTGTGCTGCAGGACACCTGGAGGAACAAGACACTGAATCTTGGGTGCTGTGGCCCTGGGCCTCTCACCTTCTTTAGGAACATTCTGACAACGTATAAGCAGACATCATCATCTGCTTTTGAAAATTTACAGATCCTGCTAACTCTTTCAAACACAACCACAACCACAGAGGCACAGAATCATCTGTCAGTCTAGGAATATCCTTCTCTCCTTTTTTTATACAATAACCAAGTTGAGAACACTCAGAGTGGTCCTCCTAATGCATCCTCAAACAGACTTGCACCTCTTCTTTTCATTTCTTCCTGGTCTATCAGCAGAATGCCCCAGTCACAAGTTCTTTGTCCTTCCTGCACTGACTCAGACCACACAACCAGAGCATCAGCCGGTCCTTCTGTGGCCATGTACCTCTCATAGACAGTACAAAATTTGTGTTCACTGTCCAGGAGGAACATACTCAGTTTAAATAATGTCTTCTTTAAAAAACTGCAGTAAGTAAGTGCTTTAAGATGACCTCTAAAAATCTAATTTTATCTCTTGTAGTCAATACGTACAGGAGGCTGTAACAAATGTATACACTAAAGACCCAAGGAAGTAAATATTTCAAAACTGCAAGATTATACAGAAAGTTAAAAAAAAATGTGCACATTGCTGGGTACAAGGCCAAAATTTGCATGTCTATGTCTATAAATTTACAGGTTTACGTCTGGAGTAGAGCACCTCCTAGCATGCATGAGACCCTGGGTTCAATCTCAGCTCTACAAAAAATATATAATTCAAGAGAAAATTTAAAATACATGAATAAAAGCAATAGAAAGAAGAATTTCAACTTACGGTCACAAACAGGTGGCTCAGCATCCCAAACTACAGTTCTACCAGAGAGGATGCATGAAGCAGAGGAGGAACCAATGAGGCGGTATCTACACACAGAATAAAGAATATTAAGTAATATGTACGTCATTGTCTGCTAAAGTTGAAGATTCCCCCCAGATTACTATCTTAGAAGCTTCTGGATATTGTTTTCTTGTCAACGAAAACCTTGCATCCTCTTTTGGACTATTTGATTTCCTTCTTCATTCCTTCCTAACTAAATGAGATTTCTCTTTTTATTATCTTACTACACAAGCTGCAGTAAATTAATTATTTTCTGTAAGTCTTATATTTAAAGATATTACATGTATCTTGAAAGCAAAGGATGTGTTATGTGTTTTTGTGTATATTATATTAATATGAATTCATTTATACTTTGTAAGCATTAATGTGAATAGCTAGATAAGGGAATGCTTTATGAGCAAGGTTCAGCAAAGAAACTCAAATCTGAACAAGAGCTGAACAAAGACTTCATACTTTAAACAACAATAACTAATGTTAGCAATACTCAAGGACTTAATGTGCTGCAAACTGTCCAGTATATCATAAAAGAATTAAAACAATTCATGATACAATTCACAGCAACTGAACTCATGTCTATTTTATTAGTTTCACACATAAACATCATTTTGTACATCCCACCTGCTCCTTTTCCTATGAGAAAGAGACTTTGTTTGTTTGTTTGTTCATTTTACTTTTTGAGACAGGATTTCTTGTGTAGCCCTGGCTGTCCTGCAATTTGTTCTATAGTCCAGTATGGCCTCAGACTTAGAGATCTTACCTCTGCATCACATGTGCTAGGCTTAAAAACTAGCACCACCATCACCTAGCAGAAAAAAAAAAGGAGTTTTACACAATTTTCTATGTGTAGGCTTGTGTGTTTCCCACCATGTCAAGATCTACAAGACCCTTTCCTTTCCAAGTTGCTTTGGTCATGGTGTTTCATTACAGCAACCGTACCCCTAAAAAATGGTGGGAGGGGGCATAATATATAACCTGAAAACTAATATTAGTAATTACAATTGTTCCTTAAAAGACTTTATATTCAGAGGACAGTTAGGCTAGGCACCTGTCTGCAAGCATAACAGAGTATCATTAATAGTGTCAGGGATTGGTGTTCGTCAATTGGATGGGTCTTTACTTGGGACAGTTATTTGACCTTTCCTTCAGTCTCTGCCTCATCTTTGTCCCTGCATTTCTTTTTGACCGGACAAATTTTGTGTCCAAAGTTTGTAGTATTCACAATTTCACTCTGTGTTGAGTAATGAGGAGATTAGCACATACTTTGTGAGCACTTCATGCTTTACATGTTCAAAGAGGAATTTGAGGCTGAGCTGTGTTCCCTAAATGACATGCTGATCCTGTAAACTCCTGATCCCTGTCACTGTGACATCATATGGAAATAGGGTCTTTGTAAATGTAGCTAAGCTGAAATTAGGGATTTTAGAATGGATCCTAAATCAACATAACCAGTATCAGTATAAAAAGAAAGAACACTGAATATAAATACATTCAGAACAACATATACACACAGATACAGACAGAAGCAACCACGTAGATGGACACAGAAATTAGAGTTGGGCTATACAGACATAGAAGGCCTGGAGCTCCCAGAAGCTGGAGGAGGCAAGGAAGATCCCACCCCTAAAAACCTCAGAGGGAGCAGGGTCCTGATAACACCTGATTTTGAACTTGTAGATGCAGAATAAAACTCTTAATAATTTTTCTTGTTTGAAAACAGTCTGTGGTACTCATGTCAGCAACCTTGGTAAACTAAAATAAGCTATGAATTTAAGGCCTGTTCTTCCTCAGAGCTCCCTGGACTTCCCTTTCTTCTAAAATCATCCACTGTGAATTTAAGAAGTCTGCACGCTTAGACTGCACTATCTAATCCAGTGAGTGCCTCACTTTCTATATATGTTTCCATAGTCAGAAACATACCCTAAAGGCTGAGAGATAAAGCCTTAGTCTCCCAGCCTATGATCTTATTGGCATGTGGTAGAATCTTTAAGAGGTAGGCCTTAAGGTACAAAATTAGGACATCAGTGTTTCTTGCCTCTCTTTTCTTCGTGGTGACTATAAGGTGAATGGGCCTTCTTTACCACGTTCCTGTTGTGACAGACTAAAGCAAGAGTCAAGAGAACATGAACTGAAACTTCTGTAATTATGAGTTAAAATATACCTTTCCTCCTTTTAATTCATTACCCCAATTATTTTATCGTAGTAATAGAAAGCTAACACACGTGTTATTTTGCTTATTCAACAGGGATGTCTTTTCCAAAAAATCATGTTATATTTCTATTCATTTCAATCACGAATTAAACAATCATGTTCAAGCCTTTTTAAGGCTAGATAACACTGTGATGGTATTGCTTCATTGTAGAGCACTTGTCTAGCATATTTAGAGCCTTAAGTTCAACCTGGAGCACAAACACAACAGAACACAACACAAACAAAAACCAAATAAGGAAGCAATAGATTAGATGTCTTTCTTGAGATCTCACTAGAAAGTAGTACTGCTATTCCAGAACTCTTAAATGAAGAGATGTTGTTGTCAACTCACCCTTCATTACAAGTAAAATTAATATAGGCTCCAAATTCAGTGCCTGTGTATACATGTACCAAGCCATTCAGAGGATCTGAAGGAGTTTTACATTGTTCACCTATGAGAAAGAAACAGAATTTTAGAAACAAGTATAGTAGACTGGACTTTCTGTAGTTTATGAATTTCTAAAATGATTAGAATTTACTGTAAAATATATATAATTTAATACTTCAAAGGTTTTGCCACTTTGAGGAAATTCATCAGGCACTAGTTTCCAAAAGAACTCTCACCCAAGTCTTTTCTTATATTCACACAGTGACTCCCTAAAACATGTATACTTCTTTTATTACCAAAGCATTCTTCTAAGTATTTCAATTCACAAGCCTCAAAGTCTGACATTTTTTCATCTCTTTGTTATTAATACCCTTTGCTTCAGAATCATTAATTACTTAATGACACTTGTGCAAAGTTAGCCACCCTAAGTGAAGTATCTTGAGGATATTTTCTCTTTATCATGCCCTGTGACAGTCATTCTTATTAAATTTATTAACTTTGAAAAGAAGGAATCCCAGAGTAAAGAGATTTGACTGACAAGAATGATCCACATGTCCTATATACCTTAGATAAGATTATTAATGGTGTGTCATAATCTAAACTCCAGACAAACTGAGGCAGACTCTACTCTTTGTCACAAAGGAGCTTCTTCTGCAGTTACTCACGTATACACTTATCTTCAGCACTTGTCCAGGTTGAGTCTTGTTGGCAGGTGATGGAGAACTTCCTCCCGGCAAATCCTGGGCGACATTCATACCTCAAAGATGTTCCAATGGGAAACAAGGATTCATCAGTTGGATTCATAGGTTTGGCAAAAGATAATGGTGATAGGGCAGGGCACTGACCTGAAGAAGACACATCAACACTGCATTGGATGGAAGGACTTGCCTCCTCCCTCACCACTTTCAGTTCTCCAGCTAGCTATTAGGGACCATGATCCTCCCCTCTGGCATTCAGGAATGGATCAGTACTATGGTCAAGGGGGAAAAATAATAAAATTCAAAAAGTGAAACTGCCTTTCATTTTGTTAATGTATTTTCCAATACACGTTTTGATGTAACTTCTAGACTCCGTTATTTTCTTTTAAGGCTTAGTAGCATTTATTTAATTGGCAGATAGAGTCAAATAATATGTAGCCAATAATTATCTGTTAGAAAAAAATCATTTTAATTTAATTTTGGAAATACTACATTTTGATTATGACTTCCTCCTAATATTTTCACTTAATACTCTGCTTATTCTACTAGATGCTTAAAATGTCATATTTAAATATTCCACTTTATTGTACAGTTGCCTATTTCTGTTCATTATACCTACTTATTATTTTATATATTGTATAAATAGAACATTCAAATTTAAATTGTTATATTTCATAAAACGTTAATTTTTATCATATCCTGAATTTTCACAGTAAATCTTGTTTCATGTCCTTTTTTATTATTGAAATCAAACTAAGTAGAATTGGATTTTTAATACTCAGTATATCAATTGTTTTATTTGATTTGCTTGTGTGTGGGGGTGGGGTTGGTGTACCTGCATATAGCCATGGTTTTCCATGCCTGCGTTTGCATGTTTGCATACGCATGTTTGTAAGTGCAAACGGAAGCCGGAAGATGATGTTGGAAACTAACCTTTATTTCCGCTCCCATTCTCCATACTTTACTCTTCAGGAAGACATTCTGCTAAGATTTTGCATAAGCAATTTTATCAGTTAAAATGAAGAGCATACAATAAAACATAAACAATGCCCAAGACTTCGACGAAATCTTTCTCTAAGAATGTTCTGATTGAAGAGTAAGGAAAGGGAAATTAGAACTTCCACGGTGGGTAAAATGGGCACTGTATTTTGCTCTTAACCATCACTAAAATTTAATATGTACATTCTACAGTCCTTTCTACTTGCAAAGATTTCCTTGCACCTAGAGGCTTCCAAGCTTTTCACATTTTATCCTGGAGTGGGAGTGGGAAGACCTTCCTTAAAGCTGAGACTCAAGGGACTTTTTGAGGATTTGGGGTGGGAGATAAAGTACACAGTCCCAAGACAAAACAGTTTGTCAAGTGAAACCTGTATCCCTGGGCCTGCTTGTCTGGGCCTTTGGAGCAAATCCATAGGTAATGTCTCTAAGACAGAAATAGAGCAAGAATTGGGTTAGACACTTGACAACACCAATTAAATAGTAATACCACGAAAGACATCACTATCTCCATTTCACAGATAAGAAAACACAAAAGCATAGTAACTTTCCTCACAAAACCAAATTCTAGGATTAGAAATTGCATCTCTCATATTTACGCAACCCCCTGCTCCCACACCCCCTTTCTCTCACTACAGTTGGCTCTACACTCAGCACTGACAAGTACAATGTACATCTAATAAAGGCAAGCTGCTGGGAGACCAAGCATTCCTGCCGGCTGAGAACAACACAAGACGTGGGTTGAGCGCGCTCCAGGCTCACTCATGGGAAAAGGGCGCTGGGTACCCACAGGGACCCCAGACCAGCATTAGAGTCTGTGCTGAGCCTGTTTACCCAGGTCTCAGGTGAACCATGCATCCGTGCCTCCCCATACTTCCCCGCAGCTCACCCAAAGTAAATGGCAGCAAGAACAGCAGCAGGACAGCCAGCAGGACTCCCCGGCGGCACAAGGCTTCAAGGGGCCCCACGGGGTCCAGAGGCTCTGAACTCAGAGAAGTCGCCTCCATTGCCCTCACTGGTCTCAAGCACAGTCTTATGGCAAACCGGTGAAGAAAACAGCCGCACCCAGAGAGCAGGGAAATGGCGCTGGGTTCCGGAATAATGCTTTCACTACAGCGTCCTCTGGTTGGGCGGGGTCTTGTTTACTCCAAGCTTCAAGGCTTTTCTTGGAATTGATCCCTTGGGGGATTGATTCAGCAAAGCAGACACCGGATCAATACTTGAGAAGTCAGCGCCCTTCTCCTTTCTACCTCTTTTCTAAGCATATTTTTCCTAATACTTGGGTTTCCCAAGTACTTTGTGTTTCACTCTTTCTGCAGAAATTCTCCCCACCACGTGGTTGAATTAAACCACCAGTCTGGTTTGACTCAACTGGCATGAATTGTTGTCTTCTCCATTTTCCTCCTCTGGTCAACTGTAGAGATTTATAACTTACAGGGTCTGGGGAACGATTTCTGTGAAAGTTTAGTAAAATTGTCCTTGAGCTCCTGTTTTATTCTATTCTTCATTTATTTTATGGATGAAATCAAGAACTCGAAGAGGGAACCCAGATTTCCCTAATATAATTTGGTGATTACACAGGGAGTTTCCTCAGTTATAGCAACATATGTAAATCTGCTTGATGTCCCCACTACCTTTTAATAAATTTATTATTTCATTATTAATGACTTCCGTGTGAGTTGTAGTGTGTTGGCTGCAGCTTTGGCCTCTACCCACTGGATACCAGCAGTATTTCTCTCCTCTAGTTTTAACTACCACAATGACTCTAGACAAAACCATCCCA